TGCCCTTTTGACGATGTCTGCTTGTTCCCATCAGTTTCATAGCATCGGCTGTGTCTGGACTTAAGGTAAAAACGTAAGAACAAGTATAGAAGTAAAAAACAAATTCAAGTGTTTTTTTTTTATCTTGAGGTCTTTGGTAGAAGATGTAACGAGTAATGCAACTAACGACCTAACTCGTTACTTGAAATAAGTAACGTAAGTACGTTACACGTTGCTGTTTTCGAAATGAAACGAGTACGCGTTACAATGCTACCAAAAAAAGTTACTCGTTACCGGTAACTCCATTATTAGTAACGCGCGTTATCGCCAGCACTGGTATTGACAATAATGTTTAGAACGGGCAAGCGGTAAAAAAGGGAAGATGTCTGAGATATGATCGTATTAAAAATGTAATGCCGGGATCACACTGCTCATACATTATACGAAAGAGTCTGCAAACGAAGAGTCACTGCGATACCCGTGCATCGAATGCCGCGTGCTAAGCTTTCTCCTTGAACTCCTTGCCATGCGGCATTCGAAGCACGAATCTCGCAGTGACTCGCATTGGAATCTGTATGCAGACCGTCTTTTGTATAATGTATAAACAGTGTGACCCCGGCTTAAGAAAGCACCTTGTGTGCACTGCGCGACAATTTGCGCAAACCCCACAATTGTGCTAGTTCGCATTTCATTCAGACAGGGTATTGACGAACATCCTATCTTACGGGTTAGTATCAGAATGAGTACTTCCCGTTCATTAGGTAGTTGAGATGAAATAATTTCAATCCTAAGAGATAAATGTAATTACACTATGTTCGCTATAACTGTCTCGCACTGTTTATATTCACCTACTGGTCGTTATGACATTAGGTTAGATATACGCTACAATTACGATAGTTCTATAATCAAAATGCATCGTGAATTACTTTTCGTTTGGGGCGTCTAAAAATCTTCGCGAACTCTTCGACTGACTCGAAGGTAATTTTACGACATATACATTATTCCAGAAAAGAAAGGAAAGAGCTTAAAAATAGTTTTACAGGTTCAAAACGTCCGAACAGCGTTTCTAAATGTCTACCTTGGCGTCTCGTTCCTGTGGATAACACTGCATTCGGGTGTATGCTTTATTTTTTAGGCCCAACATCTGGTACTTTCTCTACTAAAAGTAGACGTTTTTCCTTCTTTGTTTCGATAAAGACACGATTTGTTTTATTGTCACTCGAACAAAAAGACACAAAAAACGCTTTTTAAGATTAACCCTTTTTTACCCAGACAGAAAAGCACAAACGTCAAAGATTTCGAAGGAGTTCCGTTACCTCCCAAAATAAAAACGACAAGGTTACTTTTTGAAGCATCGTTTCGTCTACATTCCAGCCGAGAGAGCTCGTCGAGCAAACGAGGCGAGTAACACCGCGGACCCTACGCTCGCTCCTATTTCCACTCGCTGCGCGCAGGAGAGCCGAGACCAAACCGAGCGTGACAACCACCTCCTGTTCCACTTAGCAAACAATACGGGAAACAAGGGCCCTCGGCTCCCCACGCCAACCCCGGGCGGCACGTGGTCTCCCGGCACGTGGCCATCCGTCCAAACAAAGAGGGCAGCACCCCCCTCTCCTCTTACGTCCTCCTCTCCCAGTGGTCCCCTTACCGCTCTGTAGCCCCCGCAAGTAGACCGGATCGCTGGGTAGTGTCTAATCGGGCTCTTCGTTCCGGCTCATCATGGACCCTATGTTCCCGGTCTGCGGTATGCTAAGCTTACAGTTGGGCTTCGCTGGCCACTATTGTCGCCGACAACTTGAGGAGGGCACTGGGGCGCGGCGAGTAGCGACCACCTTATCACTCAATCAGGTTGCGGCATTAGTTCATCGCCGAAGGAAGCAGCCTAGTCATAATGAGGCACGCCCTGCATTTTTTAAGTTGTTTGCGACTATGCGGGCAGAAATGGAGGAGCGGAGGAGGTAATGCATTTAAGGAAAAGGTGCAAGCGAGCTGGACAAGAATAACGATAACATTAATTATCGATATTATCGTTCAGCTCGCTGGCACCTTCGCATTAATTGCATTATCATCGTAACCTTAAAACGCAGGCCGTTCACGCTTGTAGGGTCTTAGACTGGTGGCAGCTGTTAAAACCCGTTTGCTCTACCGACGTCTAACTCCTGGTTAGCTCGGTTGGTAGAGCGCTCCACTAGAAATGGAGAGGTCCCCGGTTCGATACCAGGACCAGGGTTTTTTTGTCAGTCGCGCACCAGTCATTTAAAGCTATGTTTGAAAATGTGTGTTTGTCCTTTGCACCCCTTGTTCCCCTTCTCCGGGGTTTATTTTTGTCGTTCAAGTAGCTGACACGTTCTTCGGCGAATTCTCGCAACCTCATTGGCTGCGGCGGGATAATGATATGCCCGGGACTTAGCACGCCCCGCGTTTAGGTTGCATCTGAGTATGCGAAAAGCAAGTCGTCTGTTTGTTGCACATTGGTGGCGGTGACGTCAGAATGACACCGAGCTCCGATTGGCTTTGATTGAAAGGATAGTGGGTAGACCTCAATGCTAGATGCCTTGAGGTCTACCCACTATTTGTTTTCGCAATCAGCCAATCAGAGCGTGGCTTTCTGACATCATCGCACCCCCTGTGCAAGAAGCAGACGAACTTGCGGTCCGCATACGGCGAAGAGTGTTTTTAAAATATATGTCTTAGGCGCATCGGAACGCAAGGGCACGCCGATCGAGGAACAGTATCGAGAACGCGCAGTGACTGTCCAATGGCGTGGCAGCCGAGCGCGCGTCGTCGTTGGTAGTCGAGGTCGCGGGTAGGAAACAAAAAGCGCGCGTAGACGCATTTGCCGGGTCAACGAACGCGCGAGACGCTCAAGGAACGGACGAACTTGCAGCCGTAGAACTAAAATCTACACGTCGCCTATTGAGGGCCGGCACAGAACACGTATTATACGCGCAGTGCTACGTGACAATGCGGATGGAAATCGCGTTCATTTAGCAAACACAGGAGTCCGCACCGGGATGTTGAGGCAGCATTCGTGTCCAATAAGTGACCCGCGCTGGCCCTCAACAGTTACGCGGTCACTTTGTACTTCTTCTGAGTGTAGCTCTTCACAGTGTAGTCATTTGCGCGAGTGTTCTGAGAAGGAACACGAGAGCGCTATGTGATTTTTCCGATCCCCGGCGTATCCTTGCGCACTGGCTCATTTTGTTTCAAAGTAATCTACAAGTTAGCCCAACTAAAACTTCAACAGCGCTTAAGAAAATTGTCAAGTAAGAATAGACTTTTTTTTTTGCGTCAAGAGGTGATTTTGTATTTTTTCCGCATGCTTGCTGCTGACCAGTGTAAGGGGCCCGAGGACCAGTCAAGCTGCCTACTGCAGCTTTTTTCCCTTGGGCCTCCCATCATTTGATGAAAATGAAGTTATTATTATTATTATTATTTAAGCAACGGAAGCCGACCAAAGCCCCTGCATTCGCAATTCCAAAGGACACAACGCGACCCAGCGGTATAGAGGTGAAGAACAGAAGCGAGGAGCAACCGCCCGTACAAATGTGTTGCACAAACCTGCGGGCCCTGGCGGCCGAAATGTGAAACAGAGGAAAGTGGTGAAATTGCACGCGGTTGCAGTTGCATATACATGAGCATTATTAAGAGCACGCCGGTGCTTGCTATTTTCTTTTGTACGCGACTCTAAATAACGGTATTGAACCATTTTATAACCTTGTCATTTTCAGTATCGAGCTCCATTTGTTACGAAAACGATCAACCTCATTGTTCATATTACTCTAAGCAAGTGTCTTCTTTTCTTTTTTACACTAAACGAACATTTATATGAGGTTGTCTGAACTCCGCAAAACGAAGTAAGATGACCCTTAAGGCAGTCCAGGCCTCCTTCTGTTCATAGTGATCATCAGTAGCTTCCGAATAATGCGCAAGCGTACGAGCAAGTCTTAATGATTCGCGTAACCAGCCCAAGTGCGCTGGAGCTCCCAAGACGAACGAGCACCAACATTCCTATGGACACGGAGGGCTACTCGCTTCATCCCAAAGACCGCAGTTCTTTCTCCTCCCTTTCCCCCTTTCCGTTTTCTCCCACCCTCACCGAGCACGTCTCCCTAAACCGAAACAAAAAGCCACCGCCTGCTGCAACGCACCCCCCCCCCCCCAGCTCACATACACTGACACACGCGCACGCGGCACACGACCACAGCGCACGCGCGCAGCGCGAACCACCTCCTTCCTTCATCCCCACCCTTCCCCACCGAACGTGACGTCACGTCTCCCCAAAATGGCGCATGCGCACGCCCGAACGCCCTTCCACCACGAACCAGGCGTCTCTCCCCCTTTCCCTCTTCCGAACCCCGAGAGGGGAGGAGAGACCCCCGGACCACCGGGAGACCGTGACGGCTCAGCGAGAGAGAAACGACGCCAGCGCTGCGGCAGCACTCGCCGAAAACCCCGGGGCGAGCTAAACGCGAGGGTGAGACCCTCGCAAAACTCGAGCTCCTCCCGGCTCCTGGAAAAAAGAAAACAACAACTAAAAAACAACAAGGCGGACTCCGGGTGGCTAAACTTGCAAACGGAACATAGACCGCGTCGCTGCCAGGTGTGCCGACACCGTAAGCTCCAGTGCGACGTGGTCTCTTACCTCCGGACAAGGCCAAGCGGATGCATCTCGGACCATAGCTACCGCAGTAAGAGTCTTCAACCACGAACCGGGACTATCCACAATCCGAAGGACCGTCGGAAACGGTGTTTGGTCTCGTGCTGTGGATACACCGCCTCGCCGTCTGGTCGTCCGTCTGCAGACCACCCGGAGGACAGTCCTGGACCGCGATGAGGGACGGCGTACCTTCCAGGAAGAGGCGGGAGTTATGAGATCTGCAGGGGACCGGGCGTGTCCTCGTCCTCCGGCCTGCTTCGTCATTGCCGTCGTCTGCTGCTGAGTTGGCTTGTGGGTGGTGGGAGTCGCACCGGCCTTCACCACGAAGCACGAAGGCGGTTCCTCGCTTAACTGGGACTGCATGGCAGCCATCATGAACGGCGGCAAGCAGCCGTCGTCGATGCCGCTGCCACCGCACCTTGGCGGCGCGGCGGCGGCTGCCGCCGGAACGTGTTTTTCGGGACGCTACTCGCCGACCTACAGAGCCGCGCCCCCGGACCCCATGAGGGGAAGGCACTGCGCCATGGGGAACCCCGCGGTGAGTAGCTCGACATCCTCACCAGAGATTTTGGTTTTCTCTGTATCTCTAGATGACCACCAGTGACATTGTGATGTATTGAAAACTATAGTCGCTTGGGATAACCCTTCAGAAAGTGTCGAGTTTTGTGCGAGCGTCTCTGAGACGGAGGTCAACCATGTATACACAGACCTCGCTTCCCCTACTCCGTGACTAAAAAAAAATTAATTTGGAGCGTAATCAGAATTCGATTTCGAATGAGCTTGGTATCGATTTATATCCGTTGCTATATTTACATTTTCTTGCAATAAGAGTGTTGCTAAAATAAAACACGATATTGCAGAAAGACGCGCATCTTTAAATTTTGTAAATATTTGAGATTGTTTTTCATAAAGAATCTATTAAGCTAACAAAAAAAGGTGTTACTCCACTGACCACTTAGACCAGAGTGTTACAAGAAAGAATTAAGAATGTTAAGAAAAACATCGCGACTTTGATGGGTTTGTGCGCAAACCACTATAGCTCTCAAGTTTGACATAGATTAGTGAGAACACATAGGTGAGGACAGATGGATGAAAATGCAAGGAGAAGTATTGCGGAAAAAGTAAAGGATTTTTTCTAGAGACATTGTTTAGCAGGAATTAGCGGTTGCTGAGCTATCTACCATTTTCATAAAACGACTCAAGTGACCGCCGTCAAAGCTATTCACGTAATAGAACGCGCACAAGAGCGTCTGCACCGTCTCGAGTTAAGCGTCCGACTCCAAACTATTTAAGTAAATCAGAACAAAGCACCAGTATCCTCTTTAAGTTTTCTATTTAGCAGAGTTTACCTGAGAAATGGAGGTAGATACCAATGATATACTATTAAAACACCTTTCGTAACAATGACATCGTTCAGAGAAACCTCTAAAAGCGTTACAAACTTAGTGATGTCAGAAATACCTAATGTTGCCTCCGATGTATACAAATTAAATTACTGCATGTGGCCCGCTCGGTATTGTAAAGTATCCCTCTAACGAGTTGGTAAAATAGTTAATTGAGAGAACACATCAAAGTGACCCAGAGGCATGCGTTTAATCTATGCCGCAGTATGTGACACAAGAAAGTGAGGGAGATGAGGATATAGGAGCGCGCAGGGACTTCAGAACGCCAAGCTTTGATTGGAAGGAATAGTGGCTATACACCTAAAACTATAGCTACCTTTGTCTCCGCTGCATTTGCCGAACTCGTTTTAACGCGAAAGCCATACTCCGGACGCCACAGTTCCGCGTACTCACGCGTTCGACGTGTGCAGTGTAGACAAAGGCAGCTATAGTTTTAGGTTTAAACACTAATCCTTCCAACCAGATCTCGGCGTTCTGACGTTCCCTGTCATTTTCTCATCTCCCTCAGGTTTCCAGTGCATACATTTTGAACGCAGTCGAAATTGATCCTTTTAACCATGTACAAACTATAAGGTCAGAACCTCTCTTAATTTCTAAAAATAGTGCGCAGTAATGGTGCGGGAAAATGGCGCCGCGGGTCTCGAACACTATACAAGCTTCGTGGCGATTCCCCACGCTGCGAAACCAATGTTATGCCTTGAGGAAGCTTAGCGCACCTTATATCGCATTTTGAGGAGCGCGTGGCGATATTTTCTAACATATAATGTGTTAAAGCGTTAGGAGTCCACAGGCAAGTGTGACGGAACGCCACGAAAACCGTTACGAAATCTGTAACACGTACTACAGAGGACAAATTGTGAAACGAGTAATAAGTTGAGAAGAAAAAAATTTTGAATTCGCCCCAACAGGAATTGAACCCAGGACCCCGTGAATGTGAGCTCGATCACTCATCAGTGGGTGGACGCAAACTGTATAGTTGGCTTACTCTCTATTACGCCAGACGCCGGCCTTCGGCATTACGGTGTTCGACGTTCGGCGTTCGCGTTAAAACAGTTTAGGGGAGCAAACCAAAAAAAAAAAATTCAAGACATGCTTACCACCATATAATGAAAGGAGAGTAAAAAATAAAACAACACGCTATAAAAACCAAAAACAAAAATTCTGCAATCACCATTACAACCCTCTAAAAATTTCAGGCAAGCGTATACTGTGTACACCGACATTATCCTTAGGATTAAGGTAAATCGCGTGTTTTATTATTTACTAATACTGCGTGTTCAGAATGTCTCATAGACTGACTGAAGACTAAAAAGAAGGAAAAAGAAACGGGCGAATGGTTTTGCGAACTTCTGGGTGAACGTTTTGCTACACCACAACGGCGCAGGACATGGGAGGGTTGTGTAGATTGCGACTAGACCACCCGATATACTAATACAATTTATAAACCAAAGAAAGCGCGAAGTTGACAGATTAAGAAACACAGGGTGTGGTTTGTTATCATAAAGCGCTGCGCAATTCTTTCTTCGACGCTCTTGTCGGCTTATGCCCGATCTTATAAACAGGGAAGCGATAATATGGTGTTCGAGTCTCAACACGCCCCGCGTCTTTGTACGTTGTCAATAGCAAAACATTCTCGCACAAGAACAACAAACAAATAGAGCACTTTTTGCGAGTCTACAACCATCTAAGCGGAGTCATCAATGTCCAGTTCACTAGTCTATTCAAGACAACGCTGTCTTTAACGAAAACGTCTGAGGTCGCAGGGTTCTAGTCTCACTAGGGCCAACCTGTATCCTGAAATATTTACCCTAAATACTGAACCTGGATTGAAGATTTCAAAACGCATCGAATGTGGTAATACCTAGTAAATTTGAGTAGCGAACGCAGTTACTGAGCACGCTATCACATATTACTACTTAATGGCTATATAAGAGTTAAGGAAGCATGTACAAAAAGGAAGCGCGATAGCGAGCTGGTGTCAACTGAAAATAATCACGAAGAATTCTCAGACAGGTAAAGTAAAGAAGAGCACAAACACAGTTTCAAAAACCGCTGTAATTGAGACTTATGCTGCCCTTTATTTTAGCCCAATTTTGGTTTCTTTTTAATTATGTTAGGTAACATATTTAACCATTAATGAAGCAATACGGTGGATCGTTTATTTAATTTAATTAATTTTTTTTCTTATGGCCCGAGAGCAATAAGAAAGCAGTGCGAAACCGTACAGTATGAAAAAAAGTAAAAGAAAAAAAGTGAGAAGGCACAGACACGAAATTATTACGACGAACCATTCACTAGATTAGTTATTGCAATCCTGATATCAGCGGTGTCAGTAATGGCGAGTATCAGAATTAACTGCTGGGCTAGTAGGTAATGCATTATAGAGGAAAAGAGCGCAAAAGACACGGACAAGTTGAAGAACAGGGCAGGACACAGCGCTTTGTCCTGTCCTGTCCTGTTCTTCTACTTGTCCGTGGCTTTTGCGCTCTTGCCCTCTGTAATGGCGAGTATGGCTACAGGAAGGCTGTTCTAATCAATAAAGGTATGGGGTAAAAGGGAGGCATTAAAAATAGACGTGCTGCAACAGGCGATTTTAACTTCTAGTTGATGATTGGTTTGCATGATAAGAAAAGTTGTTCCGAACATAAAGTTTGGTGAAGTGTTGAGTTAGGTATTATAAGACATGCACAAATGATAAACATATCTTTTACGAAGGGAAATATTTAGGAAAGATAGGAATGCTTCCAATTGTGCGGTAATATTTAGACTATATAAAATGAGCGAGTAAATAATTCTTCCTAGTACTGCCGCTCTTCGTGAACGCCTCTGATTTGCGTAATTTCCCATGATGTCTTTAATTCTCGTTCAACCGTAGCGCAGCACATAAGGCGCATGATAAATCTTCCCGTGTTGCATAGTATTAAACGTTCGATCTGCGTTCCTAAAGTGGTCAATCTCACTGGATGTAGAGCAATAATAAAGTGCTCGGGACTGATCCATCCGTCAGTTGCTACAGTTTTCACAGGCAGACATAGGACCAAAAACAACCCGCAGAGAAAGCGTAAAAAATTCACAGTTCACGGGAAGTTGTCAATTGGTAAAAGCATCTTCGTCCCGGGAAAAACATCTTGTACGCGTTTTAATGACTACTCGCTACAAACCACCCGAGAAACCTCGTTCCAAAACATCCTCGGCTACCCGCGATCGTCGGCAAGGCGAACCCGAACGTGCGTTTGTTTCGCTCGACGGGCATTTAGTGTGCGCTGAAGTACCTACAAATCAAGCTTATGATGACCTTTTTGAACCACTTTCGGCATATTCTTCTACCAACAACTGAATCTTACTGAATATTATTACGCCACTCTCAGAGTTGCCTTCAGAGGGTTCCCATGGTGACAGCTCAAAAACCGCCGCGGACATGGCGAGTCCAGTGCAGCTACGTCCACAGTGGTCGCAATTCGCAATATTTCAAACGCTCACTGTGACGTCTTTATCTAGATTAATATTTTCTTTCATCGACGGAAATAAGCGCAATACCAGAGTGTCAACGGTGACGAATGTCGGTTTACGAATTCGACGACTCCAAGCTTCGAAAGACGCTTTTCGAAAGTCCATCAAGCGACCTTGGTGGTAACCATTTCCAACACCGCCTGGTGATGGTTACTCAATTGCAGGAGGTAAGCAAACTGGCGAAGGAAAGAAATCGTACTTTTGGTTCTTAATTTGTCGGCTATGTGGCGCAAGCTACCGCCCGTTATAAACGGTACAGCCGTTAGCATCCCTCCATCCGTCCATCCATTGGGCACGAGGCGAGTGATTGGATCTGATCGGGTTCACGCCGAACACTGACGCAATCCTCGTGTCCAATTCACGCTCAGAGTACGTGCCCATACAATGGCCGACTGGCAATGGCGCGCACCTTTTTAAAAGTGTCTAGCGTTATTTTTACACATACTATTGAACTTGTGGTTTGCAAGTTATGTCAAGTCGGCGTTCTTATTTTAATTATGACGTCTCCCGGCTTTTGGAGTATTTTTGCGAGTGATGATAAGTAGTCAAAGATTACAACAGCTATAACGTCACAACAAGGAAAAGTATGATCGTTACGTCAGGAACGTAAACCATGAGGGGCACCACTG